ACGCAAAGAGTCTGGCGACCGTCAGGTTTTCAATTTCCCAGTCGAAAGTATTTCATGTGCTTGATTTGAGCACTGTCGTTCAAACTGGACCACATGTGAACCCCGATCCTGTTCGGGGAGTTCGGGCTGCAGGTGCAACATTGCAAGATATTAATCTGTGGTCGGTGGCCGGGGCACAATATGCTTTTTCTAATCCGTATCCTGCTGCTTGTATAAACTGCCCCCACAGGAGAGATGGTTTTGGAAACGCATGATACAGATACCTAGACCTAGCAAGCAGGTGTAATCGACCAATCGAATAACTCAACCAGCCAGCCATTCAGTGAGTCAGCGAGCCAGCCATGTCGTCAATCAATCAGTCAGTCGCCATCCAGCCATTCAGCCAGGAGGTAGGCAGTTAGTCAGCCAGCCAGCCAGCCAGGCAGTGAGTCAGTCAGCCAGCCAACCAAGCAGTCAGTCAGTCGCCCGCCCCGTCCATCCGTCTGTCAGTCCGTTCGTCGTCAGGCAGACAATCAATCAGTCAGTCAGATCCATCCATCCGTCTATCCGTCCGTCCATCCAGCCAGCCAGCCAGCCAGCAGGCCAGCCAGCCAGCCAGCCAGCCGTCCAGCCAGAATCCATGCATCTATGACTGAGTGAATCCATGAATCCATGATTCATGGACCATGAATAAATGAATCCATCCATCCATCCATCCATCCATCCATCCATCCATCCATCCAGGCACCCAGGCAGGCAGGCACCCTCGCACCCACGCACCCACGCACTCACGCGCCTACGCACCCACGCACCCACCCACCCACGCATCAACTCATCCACGCATCCATGCATCCATGCATTCATGCATCCGTGCATCTATGCATCTATGCATCCAGCCAGCCAGCCAGCCCATCCGCCCATCCGTCCATCCGTCCATCCAACCATCCATCCGCCCATCCTCCCATCCGCGCATCCGCCCAACCGCCCATCCGCCCATACATCCCAACCATCCATCCATCCATCCATCCATCCATCCATCCACTCATCCTCCCATCCAGCCATCCAGCCATCCAGCCAATTCAGCAACCTACCAGCATGTAGGTACCAAAACAGCACATGCAATTGACATGCAGCCTTACATGCTTAATACTTACAATATGCTCGTACACGCATACGCATACCGTTGTGAACCCACATATGCATGCGTGCATATGCGCATATGTGCAAGTGTACATACCTGCATAGATGCATGCAGGGATGCTTGTACAAAGACTTCATTTCATACTCCACACTGATGATATTCATCAGTTTACAGAGAGTGCATTGCATTGCCTGGTTTGGTGGTTGAAATCGTCTTCTTCTCAGACTTGCCACAGCTCTCCTTGGCGTGCAGGCCTCACCGCTGAACGGTGCGAGCCGTGTGAGCCCAAGCCCTGCGAGTGCGGCAACGCTCCGCAGCCCGGGCTCCGGAACCGTTCCATTGCGGCGGCTGCGTTGAGTGGAGGCGTGTCACCCGCATTTGTTTTGAGGCCCACTTGAAGTCATGTGCCTGCATCCTGTGAGCGTGGAGTTTGACAACGGCCTCCCATTGGCCCTCAAAGAAGCTTTCCTAGATCAAACGGGGGATCACTCCCCCTCCCCCTCCGAGGTGTTGTATCTTGGAGCTTGCAATGGGTGCAAAGTACAAGCCAGGAGCAAGCATGTGCCACCTAGCAAACATTTCATGCAAGCTCTGAATTGGGATTAGTGGCCCACGAGGTTCATCTGCCTTTTCAGCCGATGCATCCTCGTCTTCGAGAGGGGTTGTGTGTCACGAAGCTATCCGTCAGCAGCCTGCCATTTCATGTCTTCAGGCCGCAGCCCGCAGCCGCACTCGCCACCGGCGTGGACCAGGGACCTGCAGCTTGCGACGGAACAAAGCACCGGCAAGCGGCGATACGTGCTGCTGTGACCAGGCTTTCAAGGCACAGATCACGCGGAGCACTATGGCCGAGCTAAGGGAGAACGGCACTTCAGCTACATCTTGTTTATAGATCCATGGAGGTGCTCGCATTCTGCAGAATTCGCACCCTCCGCGCACTTTTCCGCCTTGGTCATTCTCTCTGAGAGTCGGTAAAGTGAGCTAGTAAACTTTGTCATTTGCCGGTGCTGTTGCCCATGCTGTTGACCCGGGTGCACATTCGCTTGTAGATAGCCATCAAGACTCGGCCACTAGAAACAGCACCAGTTGGTTGGCGCTGCAACATCTTGCTCGAACAGTTGCGGAAGTTTCTGGGCTCGACTGCCTTTACGCACTGCGCCTGTGCCTCAGGCAATTTAGATGTCGGAGGCTGCAGGAAAAGTTTCCATGTCGTCGATGATTCCAGAGTCGTGAATGCACAGTCTGAGCAGTTGCCAGCGACCGAGGTACAGTGGTGGATTGTACGGAGGTGTGTCATGCCTGGTATTTGCTTGCGGCATGACCGTCAGGTTCGTTCACGTGCAGATCAGAGTTCCCGAAGCAGAAGGACCCAGGACTGGGCACGTGTGTTCGTGCATTGCAGTTGTGGTCGAACGCCTCACGTGGCGGACAGTGTCACTTTTCTTGTCGTTTTTCATCACCCGCTACACGGAAAGGGCCAACCCACATTCTAGATTCTAGACCTCGTTCCATGTTGGAGACTCCCACAATCAAATCTCTAAAAAGGGACAAGCAGTGGTTCATGGTCTACTGCTATCATTTTTGTTGATCGGGCCCAACTCTGTTGTGGAACTTGTCGACAGTGCAGTTGGAAAAAGGCGAAACGCGGTGGCATTTTTTCAGGTCGAGAAGCTCCTTGTTGATGGGGTTTGCTTTCGTTGGGCTAGGTTCCAAAATGGGGGGGCTGATGCATGCTTTTGCCTGTAGCACGAAGACGGGTGATTGAAACACCAAAAAGCAGTGGCATTCATGGTGTTGGGTGAGCGATGTTTGCTGATGGGAACACTCCCACCTGGCAAGAAGGGGCGTCATGCGGTGTCATGTCATGATCAGGTTGGCCCGTGTTTGCTTGGTTCGGTTGTCGAAATTGCGCGGAAAGAGTTCTGTCAGGGGAAGGATCCCTGCTGTGTTGCACTCAGACAGCATGTGGAAATGAAGCAACATATGATCTGTTGTACTTTTTCGCACGAAACTTGAGTGCTTGCAAGAGGAAAACCATGTTGAATGATTTCTTCAGATGGAGTCCTGCTTTTGTTTTGACTTGTGTGATGTGGCACTGGAGTGAAGCTGCTTGACACGCAGTAGATCTTCTAGGTCCTTGCTTCGACAATGCAGCCTTGATGAAGCTATCACGCTTGATATTTTGGCAAGAGCTCGCAATCACAGTGGAGTCTTTGCTTCCGCGACAGGAGACGCTGATGTTTGGCAATTTATTTCATACGCGCGAGGCTCAGCCTGACCCTGCAAGGCCTTTCCTGAGGCCCGGGTTTAGCACCCTGAGCTTTCCTGTACGGGGTGCCGTGCTTGAGCTTCCCGGAGGCACAGGAGCTCCGCAGAGGATAGCGAAGCAAAACTTACCCGAGCAACGTACAGAATGCCACAACAGCCGTTGATACAAGAGTAGCATCTCCGACCGCAATCCCGATGAGGAGCTGTGAGACTGGAGGGCAGATGACCTCTGGGTACACAGAATCAGATTTTTGTTGGCGCGCATTTGGGAAGCCAGGACGGCATAAAGCGAAGTGTATCAATCCCAGGATGAAAGAATGCAGTCCATCCTGGTTCAGATTTTCGGGGATCTTGGTGCAACTGTTGGAATTCGGAGGTTCCGGATTCAGGGGTCGAGGGTTGTTTGGGTCAGCTGTTTTGTCGCAAGAACACAGACTCCCTATCCCTGAGGTGATCCCAGTCGAAGATGGCGATGAGACAGGCAGCAATGGACCCTGAACTGTCACCGTGTTGGACCGTCCCGAGTGGTCTCTTGATTGAGTGTGTCACGGTGATCTCTGTTCGTGTACAGCCTGGAGCTGGGAGATAACGAAAGCACCCAACCGAACCGAACCTCCCAGCTGTGCAGAAGCGTTTTGGAACGTAGAGTTCCTGAGGCAACATTTAGGAGGACTCCTTTTGATGGTGCCGGACTTGGTAGCAGCTTCCTGCAGAAGACAGCAGTCTCTCGACAGAGCATGCGGCGTTCGCTTGGCGGGCTCTTGTAGAGGTCTCTGCGTTTGCATCGCTATGCAGGCAGCTTTGATGGCTGCATATCTTCTCTGTCTCCTTGTGGGTTTGCGCCTCAGCCCTCCCCCGCTCTGTCAAATGTCAAAGCTTGAAACCGCAACGCTGAGCCTCCCTAGCCCTCAACATCGCATGCTAAGACCAGCGAAACGCTTCAACCTCTGTGTTAAGCCTTTTCGCCTGACCCCATTTAATATCTGCAGGGAAGCTTCGGATCGCCAAGCTAATGCCGAAACCCTCATTCCTCCGTTGCCTGCGCCAGAACGTTTTGAGGCCCAAAGTCACAGGTTTTGAAAGGCCTAAGTGCTTCTGGAACCCAACATCGGCGTTCCACTTCGAGTGCCTCGTCACCCTGCAGAACTCTCAACTGCAAGATCAAAGTTGAGAAATCTGAGAGCCCTCCCACCTTACAACCAAAGGCGGACATCCCAACTCACAACACCTGCGAGCTTTCAGCCTGATTTTTTGACGTGGTTTTCGAACATCATTATCGCTAGCTCTGCCAAGCTCTTCGATTAAACGCACTGCTGAACCAGCAGCGTTGACACGTAGTACTGCGATGCTGACTGGCCAAGACCGTGCTGTCGGCCTTAAGGGCGTCATGTGGCCACCGGCCGCAAAACCTCCTAGACTGTCCAAAGCTTCGCATAGCAGCATAGACGATCCGGCCCTGCTTGTGCCAGCCTGCAGATTGCACTCTAGATTCTACACTCTCAGCCCTCAAAGCAACGTGTCTCGAGTTGCAGTATCGCAGTTGTCAGACCACAGGCAGGAATGTGCGTTCCATGTAGCTGTTCTGTGTTGCTTTCCTTTTTTTAAGGCTCCCATGCGGTCCACCGGGAGCCGGAACCTGGAGAGCTGTTGGCCTTCGAAGTGGAAAGTGGAGGTGCGGGGTTCCCACTTTTACTTGCGGTGTGTGCATTTGCTACAATCTCGGCTAGTAGTTGATACTGGTGAAGAAACGGATGCGAGCAAGCGAGCAGAAAAGGTCGAAATGTTCAGGACTGTGCCTGAATCAATCCAACAATCCAGCAATGCACAAACAAACATACATACATTCAAAACGTGTTTGTATATATATATATATGCTCTCGGGTACCGGGCCCCCAAGCCCCCCCCATAGTATCCCCCCCACCCCTATGCTACCCCACCCTGTATGGCGATGGTGATGCTGTCAGGTATTCTGTTGATGTTACTGATGATGAAGATGACGACGACAATGATGATGTTGAGCATGATGTCAAAGATGATCTGATTGTCGACTCGCGTCGCCGTCTAGAGTCTAGAGCAGCACAACATCATGAGCAGCACCACCGGTGCCACAGCAAGAAGCAAGATACAGAGTAACACGTAAGAACTTCAAGAACGGCGGATGCAAGCCGCACGACCATAGTAGATGCGGTTGTGGACATGAGCGGTGGTGGAGAAGATCAGAACAAGTGCTCTTAAAAGTTCCGCGTAGCAGTAGTTGAGTCACTAATCGTGACAGCAGGTCCTTGTGTTACACTTGTTGCGTCTTCCAATTCAGGCCAACCCAAGCCTCCGCTAAGGGTGGTGCAGAGCCCACCACAACAACGAAACCACAGGGGCGGGGTGGGGATGCAGGGGCGAGGGTACCACCACAGGCCCGACCCCCCAGGGGGGCGGGGGCTGCGGGGGAGGATACCAGGGGGTGGGGACGAAAGGTTTGATAGCTCTGCATCATATATACACATCTGATATGTATAGTTGTACACAGACATGCATGTGGCTGTGTGTGCGCAGGTGTCCGTGTATGTGTATGGCTGGAACAACCGGTGCACGGAGGTAGGAATCAGTAGGTAGGACAGGTAGGTAGGTAGACAGTCAGGCAGGCAGGGATGGGCATACTGCTATAAATGCACAGCTGCATACGGATGTACATGAACGCACGCACACGCGCACGCACGCGCAGACACACGCACGGCAGCAGACATGCAGCATGCATGCGTTTGCTTTTTATACCGGCAACAGGCAACTATAGGAAACTGCGCAGTTGGCCACACAGCACTAGATGCCATTCCAAGGTCAAACTGTGCAATTGCAGTGCAGTTGTTGGGTGTGGTGCGAGTAGAAGGGGAAGGGTGGAGAGACAAAGGCAAGCAAGCGCAAGGCTTCTAATTGGAGTCGAGGCTGGGTTCCTTAGGCTTGGTTCAGGCGAGTCCCTACTTGCACAGGCCAGAAGGCGAGTGCGCCCCTTCCTGTAAGCCCTTGGCTGTGTGTCCATGGTGCCAGGCAACCTGCCGGCATCTTGGTCCCTGCTGTTCCTCACGCGTTCGCGTTTGAGAGCGGCTTCTGTAGGTTGTCATAAGGACTGCTTGTCTGGTATCAGGCTGTGTCGACGGCGTGCTAAAGATACTGTAATCGGACATACCAGGTTGAAAGCCCGCAGTCCTGCAACGGAAAGCTTTGAAGCCACCCAGTGACCCTCCGAGGGTTCGCCGCGAAGGTGTTGCAGGCCTCTCAGGCACCCGTCTTTGGGAGCTCGCTTCAGACGTTGAAGACGGTTGTGAGATGTTGTGAATGCTAGTATTGTGAAAACATAACTGTGACTCGCATGGCTTTCAATATCGACACAGACCGAGTTTTTCGGTTCTCTTTATTGAGATCATGGCAGCACAGAGACCGACGGTTCCACAGGGTTTCGGTTTGTGTGGGGTTCGTGGAGGCGAAGGCTCTGAGTCTTTGGCCGAGGACCCGCCACCTGGACGAGTCGCAGCTTGAGCAATCAATTGTTGTTAAAGTGAGAGTCGGTAGGCGTCGCCGGAATCAAGGATCCGGCATGCAGCTCGCTTGTAGGGTCAAGTTCAACGTTGCTTGGTGCTGTGTCCCTCACGCTCTTCAGTGTGCAACTGCGGGTGTGGCGGCAGATAGCTAGATGTATTTAGGTCAGATGTTCGAAGGATATGATCATCAAGGTCTTTTCAGGGTCTAAGCTCTGTCAGCCTAAATCCCTACCACGAATCAAGCCTTCCTTGAACAGCTTTCTCGTTGTTTTAATGTACCTTTACACATTCTATTGACAGACAGGTGGTCTCGAAACTCTAGCGACAGCTTCTTCTGCAGCGATTTCTACTGCTGCGTAGTTTGATGTTTGCTTTTTTTCTGCAGTGCCCGAACCTTCCGCCAAGCACAGCCTAACAGGAACATCAGCGGAATGTGGAGCCCAAGAGCCAAAGCCAAGCAGCAGCCTCTGTTTGTCTGACCTAGCGGTGGATTGGTTTCAGTCCAACCGCAGCCTAAGACTTCACTCCCTGAGTCCTTTTATTTGCAGCCCGTGCTAGATGAGCCTCTGAATGTAGACCCGTGCTCCCAAAATCGACGAGGAGGGCGAAGCGACTGCTGGGACGACGACGGAATCTGTTGGGCACTTGGCTGCCACAGGCGACCTAATTGCACGGTTTGGGGCTTGGTTTTGTTACAGCGGTGGTGTCAAGGCTTCAGGGCCATCTAGGAGTCTTTGGTTCGGGTTTGTTCGGTTGCGCTGGTTGGTAGTCACAGCTTTTGTCGGTTGGCCCTGGACCGCAAGAGCACTTGCCAAGACTTGGCAATGTGACAGTTGCCCGGGGAAAGCGGGCTCGGTCTATACCTCGAAGCCCTGACGCTCTTGCTCGCATTACTGTCCATCCTCGTGTTTCCAAGCATGACTCTCAGGATCACTAGAAGTTACTGAGTACATTGAAGACCCTGAGGACAAGGAGCCCCGAATCCCCTTGCAAACGACTCGCCGTGAAAAGGTGACTGCAGAGCAGAAGACTCTTGCAGATGCTGTGGAGGAAGGGCACAGTCGTGGGTTGGAGAATCGAGAAGAGTCATTGAGGAGCAGTTTCGGCTTCCGGGTTTGCTCAGCATTTTATTGCCTTCAAGACGCCAACATCAAGCCTTTTTGCATTTTGGGCTCCGCATTCTGGGCTCAGGTTTCGGCAATGTTGGGATTTTTCGGTGCTTGGTCCTTCTGGGCTCTTGAGGCAAGTCCTGAACAGTGAACTCCGACGCTCAGAAGCTTTAAGCCGCTGAGCTGGACACCACAGCAAACACAGGTTGGGCCCTGCCACCACGAGCTCCAAAACAAAATGCCTCATCTACCTGCCCCCATGTGCGCAAGCCTAGTGCACCGCATTTTGCACCAGAACCCAGCAAACGTTTGTCAGAAACACCGACCCCCAAACTACACTCCAAGCCCGCTGATACTTCAGGCTGTGGAGGAGCTGTTTGATGACGGCGTGTCCACAACCACAACCGGCTCCGACAGCATAGAGGCCCAGGCTCCAGGAATCGTTGCGTGCATCGATGCTGGGGATGGGATTGTAGAGGCCTTGCAGTTGGTGTTTGCGCACGTGCAGCTCGTCTGCCCTTCTCAACGTGCCCGGTTGACGCAGGAATTGGAGAAAACCGAGGCAGCATCTGTCCGGGCCCAAGACGCCGTGAAGCAGCAGCAACAACAACAATCACCACAACCGAGCAGCAGCAGCTGCAGCAGCAGCAGTAGCAGCAGCAGCAGGAGGAAGAAACAGCATAATAAGAAAAACACCTATCACCACAGCAGCGTCAACAAACAACGACACCTAGGCAAAGGTTGCTGGGTCTGGCACGCCATGAATATCGTTCCATTGACTGCCGTGCACAGCATACCTTCGTGACTACAAGCCAGTAGCCTAAACATTTTGTTCGGAAGCTGGTATCGCAGGAACTGAGTGGAAGTGACCGTGACAAGATCGCGGCAAACGTGCATGAACAGATGGAAGACAAGGCCAGCCTCCCTGGTGCAGCACCTCATGAATTGCTGAGCTTGTGCTCATGCTATTTCAGAATCGCACACGACATCAAGCCCCAGAGCTTCTCAGCTTTGGACGTCAGTTCAGGACTGGAAAGTTTGACTCGTTTCTGCGTGGTCCTACAGGTACCACACGTCCCTTCAAGAAATCCTCAATTCCTTAAATCCTTAAACTTCTTCAGTACATGAGGGCTTTGTGCAATTGCAAGTGTAAGCCTTGACCCCGAAGGCTTTAGAGTCCTGCACACAGCGGAGCCTCTCAGAGCTAAGCTTCCGACTTTTTTCAACTTCCCACCTGTTCCCACCTGCCTCACAGGCTCGGGAGGGTCGCGGGGGCGCCCAGATCGAGTCAGGCTTTAGAGGGTCAGGATGTATTGATACGGTTTCGCCCATGTAGCTTGAGTCGGCAGCAATTTACTGAAGCACTGTTGGGAGCTGTTCTCGTCTTTGCCCAGGTGGCTGGCTCCGATGGGACCAGGTTCCGTCAGCTTGTCTGTCGTCCTTTCAGCTGTCAATGTGGAGTAACCAGGAGAGCAGGCCCATATCTTGCGTCTGCGAAGCGAGTCGAGAGTGCAGGATCTTTGGCAACTCTGACCTAGACCACCCCCATATTTCTGGTTCGAAATTGACGAATGCAAGCGAGCATGGCAACGATGCAGGGCTTGCAAAACAACCGCAGAATGGCACAATCTACCGGCCTTCTCCCGTCGAATGCACTTCCGAAGCAGCCTTCTCCTGTTGCTGTCTCATCAAGCAGCCGGCAGGTGGATGGCGCGAACAGCAGCAATGCCACCCAATCTGACCTGCTCTGGTCTCACGAGCACAAGGTTTGCATCCGTTGTGGGTTTGTGGCTTCCAGGTGCAACATTTCAAGGTCATGATGTCCACATGTATGTATTGCGACGCCAGTGTCTGCAAGACTCCAAGCGCCGTCAAAAAGGCAAGCGGCTCGCTCGCAACGCAACAAGACCCGAAAGCCTCAAGGAAGCCAACCGGTTAAGAACAGGCTTTCCTTGTCTGAAAGACTGGCGCAGGAGTGTTTGGAGTCTGAGAACATCTGGACCCCGCTGTCCATGCCCGACCAGAGCAGGCCGCCCTTTGGAACGTTCCCTGCACGTTATGTTTAGAGTCCCCATCATGAAATCCAGGTGCCTACCACCCACCTACCTGCCTGCCTGCCTACCCACCTACTTACCCACGCCTGCCTGCCTGCTTGCCTGCCTACGTACCTACCCACCTACATACACAAACCTAGATTCCTCTCTCACTCCGCAAGCTCTCAGTCTGGCGACGCGTCGTCATGCCAGGACTGATGAGCCCGACCACATTAGCTGCAGGGCTGGGGCCCCGACTCCGGCTCTGGGAGTGTCTTAATTTCTGGGGTTTAGCAGCAACTGGCGAATTCAATTCCTCAGCCTTAAACTCTATGCAACCTCAGGCGCGCTGCCTGGCCGTCCGGGGCTGTGCACACTGGTCGTACTACCTCGGAGCTGGCAGCTGCTACCTGCAGGCCAACGATGCACAACCAGCTTCAATGCCATGGGTTTCAGGGGCTCGAGGCTTCTTGGCCTCTGGGCCTGTTCAGGGCTCCAGATCCCACCTCGATGCTTAGGGCGGCTTAGGGTTCAGAGCTTGAGCCGCATCTGTTGCGCTGCATACCGCGAGCCTGAAGCCCAAAACTCTCATCTTGAACCCTAAACACCCCAACGCAGCCCTGGCTTTCTTCCTACATCTTCCCACCGTTGCTACGTTGAGCACTCCGGGCTCACGCTCGGGATTTGGTTTTGAGGTGAAGTTAGCTGAGATTTCGACATCTAGCGATTTGGACTGGTCCTGTTTGGGGTTCCGGCGGGCGGGCAGTCTTGGGTGTCGAGATGTTGGACCTTTTGGTATTGCACGGCCTCGGATTTCTACCGAACTGCGCAAGCATTCCTCGCCGCCGAGTTCGGTTTGTGGATTCACGGCAACATTGCTGTGGTCCTAGATTTCTTCCACAATTGAGCAAATCTCGCCAGCCTGTGCAAAAAGAAAGCCCAACACAGCCTCAATGCATCATCGATTTAGCTCAAGTTTGGAGCCCTGATGTCGAAACTGTCGCAGGGAAAACCAAGTTTCTCCTTGAACCTGCAACCAAAGCTGGACAAGCGGAGAGTCATTCCGAAACGCTCACCTGTGGCAGAATTCGTCAGCGACGAAGGAATCTGGCAAGGCCCCAGCTTTCCACAGGTCTTTCTGAGGGCAGAGAGCTTAGGGCCTTGGGTTTCCACGATTTGTGCCAACGGGGTTAGGATTTTATTCAAATCTCGACTTCGTCAAGTTTTCTCGCTGCGATGCTCTCGGCAATACCATCCTGCTCGTGCTCATGTAAGGCAACCACTAAACACTATGTATGTCCTAAGTGCAGCATGAAGCTTAGCTCCCAGAAGCCAGCAGCTAGGCAGATGGGAAGCTCGTGTGCAGTGACTCTGTTGTGCTTCAGGTGCTTAGCCTTCCGTCCCGTCGGCATTCCGAAGCAGAGTTGTTTTCCCACGTGCAGATGCCAAATCCTTCTCTGTACTTGAAGCCTCCAAAGCACCTGGACCATCCCAACACATGCTCTTCAAATCAAATTCCAAACCTACAATTACACCCTGCCGTGCCACGTGGCTCTCAGGGTGCTGTGTCCGGGATCCCCGGATGCCGTGACAAGGACCCGAGTATTCACCTGGGCATGAATGCTCCTAGGTGGCAAGTTGAGGTTTGAGGAGTAAGGAAGTTTATCTTCGTTGGGCCATGAGAGCTCACGGGTACAAGAAGCTGGAGTTCAATGTAACAAGGCAAGAGATGGCCGTATCGGCCTATCCATCTGACGCTCTTACCCGATGCCGCAATGCTCCTTGCATTCCTGTAGCAATCGAACAACGAAGACAGGTACAGCAGAGTGCCTCCAAAGCTGATGTGGGTTTTCTTGGAGTTGACTCGAAGCCGACTGTGCACCTACAGCCTTTGTCTACACACTGGCATAGGGATGTGTCACCGGTCCTGCGGTGGCGAAGCGTGCACACCATGCCTTGGAGTATTCGTTGAGTTTGGCAGACACCCTCCTCAGACCCTAGCCCTAGACACTAGACTCCCCAGACTCCGACTGAACCCGAACGCGAGGCTCGAGAGCGCAGGGAAAAAGCTCGAAAACAGCCAAAAATACCCCTGGCGCCTCCCGAGCTGAGCCCTGATCCCTTGCCTAGCCGAGGCCGGTGGCCAGGCCTGGGAGGGTGTTCGCGGTAAAAATTGAATGCGTTTGTCTGTGCAGCTATAGGTGCATAAACAATCTGAGAACTCGTACGCACGGACGTAGCCGAATCCTGTTTCTTGAAGGCCTTCGCCGGCTCAGAAATCCGAGCTTTTCAGTGCCCTCAAGACCCCAGACTCAAGACCTTGACCCGGACGTCTGATTCTTGCGGAGTCCTGCTACCACCTCAGCGGCTCCTTCATCCCGCTGGACATGCCAGAGCAGAAGAGGACGGGTTCCTCGGTGGGTTTTTGCGTGGAGTTTAAGAGCTTCAGGAGTTACAGGCTTCTTAGAACCGGGCAGCCGAGCATGTTGGGCTGTCGGCAGTTTCACCGACAGCCTGTCAAAGCTCCGAGTCTTCGCTTTAGCCCACCGTAGCTTCAACGACTTTCTACGACGTCTAAACGACATCAACACTTCATGTTCAGCTTCGGGCCCAGAGAAGCTCTAGGTTGCGATCCACATTCTAAACCCCACGGCTGCATAGCTGGGCTTTTCGCAGTTTTGCGGTGATATGTTGTAAAGTGTACGTAAAACCTGGTCGGATGCTCACATGGTGGCAGGGGAAGACTATTCAGTCACATTACTGAGCCCTAAAGTGTGAAAGCCCGTGCAAACTCGAGCCGTGAGGGTTTAAAGCAAGAAGTCTGACAGGACGAAGGAGACCAGCTACGACCTTTGCCAGGCGAGTTGAACTTGGGGGTGGTGGTGTGAGGTTGCGAGTTTTGTCGGCTACAGCACTGTTTTCCGACCTTTGCTGATAATGCTAGGCTAGTCTTCTCTTGTGGCTGTTACTGTTCTTGCTTCTATGCGCGTTCTCATCGTCACTGTTGCTGTGAGTATTATTTAGTATTAGGTGGTTATCATGATTATGAGCACGGCCAGCAGTACACCACCGTTGCCGCCGCTGTTGTTGCCACCGGAACCCCCAACCCTACCACCAACCCCGCCACCGCCACCGCCACCGGCACCGCCACCACCACCACCACCNNACCACCACCATCACCATCACCACCACGCTGTAGATGCTGTGATCATTGCTGCCATCGTGGACAGTTGTTCCCACTGCTTGTCAGCACTATTATTGGCATAATGTGAGAACCAGCATTGTTCCTTGATTTATGCATGTGTCGTCGTCGTAGTAGCAGCAG